AATCACGCACTGAAGTTAATGAAATTTGCGATGAACCCCAAGTGTCGCAGTATATCGAAATGCCGATATTATAATAGCTCATTTGTTCTTATCAGCAACATACTTATAGGAGAACCTTGTCTAGTCAAAGTGGCCTTTTTAGATGAAATGCATACCATAATGGAGAGCATAAAACGGTGATTCCAAAGCTGTCTTCCTTATTTGCGGAGCGTTTGCGGAGAGGGGTTTTGAGCGTTCATTGGAGCAAAATGAATGTAAAATGATGCTAATCTTCCTAGTCCTCATAGGAAGCAACCAAGTATGATATGTTTTTTATTTAAGGTTAATTACTGAATAAAGTTCTGATAATCATCACTGTTCCATTGAAGCTCTAACTAAAATGTTACAATTTTTTGTAATTTTTTTGCTCCAATAAAAGCTCTTAACTCTTCATCCAAAACGTTCCTCAGATTAGAAAGGCAGATTTGAAATCAGCGTTTTATGTTCTCCAATATGTGAGCACTTCATCTGAAAGGCCACTTCGACCAAAGAAGCACGTCGTTTAGCACTGTTGGGTGGTTAAACGGTACAAAGTAGAGAAGACGGTCGGCTGCCGGGGATCATCAGCGGATCGCGGATAATACAAATAGCTGGAGAATGGCGCTTATGCAGCTTCTGGCTCCTGTTCAATACGTATGTAGTGGAGAAGAGTGGGTAAACTTACGGATAGGTAGGCAGTGTGCAAGCCGGATATCTGGAGCTTTAAGTCGCGACCCCTTCCCAAAGTGAATGCTAATGAATACGGCCCTCAGTGAAGATCATGGTTTTGTTATCGCCTGGTGTAAAGGTTAGTATATCCCCTTGTTCATCGAAAGTATGCCTGTGTAGGAAGAAGATGCTTGTTAACCTGAGATAAAGCGCCGAAACCATGCTACTATAAAAATTCACCGACATGTCTTAGGTGCAACAGCTTGTATCAAGTTCTGCATCGATGCCTTACGGATTGTCATCGCCTGTGATGGTCTCACCGTATGCGACATTGCAGCTGAACATCCCTCCAGTTGACTTGAATAATCCAGAAAATGCTGCTACATTGACCAGATCGCTGGATCAGGTACCAACGGCTTTTTATACCTTTACAGTAAACGTATGCGGATTCTATTGATTACAGTACAACCAGCAGCTGATACGATCTCAACTTGACCAAGCTCAGCAATCTGCTCAAGTTGCTGGTTGTCAAGTTCAACTACTCAGGGATCAGTTGACAAGTGAAACTACAGCCAGGATAGAGGCCCAGGTAATAAATGAAACGTGCAACATCAGGTTCTGTTTTCATATGAAAGACACTTTTGAATGCTGGTTCCACGAAGGCGGGTAAAGTCGACTGCACGAAAATGGCCCAAGAGACTATAAGTCAAACGCTCGCGGGCGCATCGAGCGTGCGGCTTACGGTGCTTGCAAACTACTCCTAGCAGCGGCGCGCATAGTAAACGTAGCGCCGTTGAAACTGCTGTCTGACCGGTAGCTAACACAGAATCATCAATCAGATTTATCCTTATGACATATGGAAAGTACTGGTAGGCACGATAACGAAGTATGTCATGATAAAAGTCCTGGGGCGAGTCGGTGGGAGAGTAAAGAGGCAGTACGCATCAGCGGGAGCGGTGAGCGAGGTCATATCCGACCGTCCAATAACCTGTCCTGTCGGTGGGAAGACTCCTCGAACACGACGACGACTGACACGCCCTGAACAAATGAGTCATGGCTGCGTAACAGCTTAGCGAGATTCTCTTGCAGCATGCATCATAGCGGTAATGCTCGGCAGACGAGCGCTAGCCTCCCTTGCGCGCGTTTCGCTTATGGTCTTTCGGCGATTTTGTGCAGTGGACTTAAGCCGTGTGCACGGGTGTACGGGCTGTAACGACGACTGGAGCACAGCGTTCGCACCCGCTTCGCAAGATGAACCGGATCCCTCATTAAAAAATCAGCCTTTATTCAACGTTCTGTTGCATATAACTTGTAAGTAAGAAACGTCAAGTAGCGAATGAGCAGCATCTTGTGCGCCTAAGTAATTATGAAACTTCAAACGCATTTTGCGCGCTAGAGTGTCACCGTAACCGTGTACGATACGATGTCCAGAGTATTTATGTCTGAAACTGCTGAACAACCTCTTCAAAATGTAATTCTAACTTGCTTTCCGATCGCCCTGAGTTCACGCTAACTTACAACAGCAACGCCGTTAGCCTATGCAAAATTCCATTTCAAAGAAACTGTTCTGAGAAATATGTGGGTGTAATGATTCATCACTTTTGCAGTCTCGAACCCATCAACTCCTGAATGCGAATCGCGAACTCCTTGAACAAGTACAATGTCTTGTCCAACGATTGCAGCAACTTGAGACAAAGATCACAAGCGAGATTCAACAAAGCGTGCAAGTAAAAGTGATCTTGTTGATGTCATTCGGAACTGCCAAATTACAAACATTCAGTCCCCGCCTGGTCCTCATACCTCATCACCCCCTATTCATCGACCTCCAGTTTACATGTCCTATCATGAGCAGTACGATGCTCGTCTGCCGGCTGGCTCACAACCACGTGAAAATATGCCTTATCAGGTGAGTGAGTTTGGTATGACTAGATAACAGGCGTGTCTGGCTCCCGCACATTGTTCACTTCTGCGCAGATGCACGATCATCTACACTGCATCAAGTATACAGTATATTGTCGTTATTAGGAGTGTATGAAGCGATTCTCAGTGCAATGCATCAAAGTCGTACTTAGCACTGTACAATCGAAATATAATTTTTTGCGATTTGATTTACATCGTACGACCTTTAAAGGTTCAAACGTTGGCGGACCTGAGGTCTGGCTCACTACCTCCGAAGGACTCTAGGGAACGGCGAATCAAGGATGACGGAGCTAAGACGGAACCCGAAAGCAACAACGAAGACACAACTGACTACTCAAGTAGCGATCAGGTACACCTCTCAAATAATTTGTATGAAAAAGTGACAGAACCGGAATCTTCTCAACATCGCCACTTTAGTATGAGAAATCAACAACAGTAATGAAATCGAACGTGCCACCACCACCTCATTACAATGTACTGATGGCGAATCCGTTGGCTGATATCAGCGTACCAGCGAGTGTATCCGAGATACGGGATCAACCACGTGGAGAAAGAGATGTAAGAGAATTACGTGGTGGCGAAAAAAAGGTGACCAATTGCTTTGTCTAATGCTTCTCACCTTTGCCTTCCATATGTTCGCTAAGTGAAGT